TGTCTGTCTGTTAAGCTTTCGCTCAGCGATGAAGTTATGAATTTTCCTTACGAATTCCGTGTTTTTCACGAATAAATTTGTGATATGTATTTTCGACAACTTCTTGATTTTGAAAACTGATGCCAGCAAAAGAAACCTTATATCTAAAATAGAAAGAATAGGGTCATAGCATTGTAATGTCCTAACGAGCGCATGTTTAAATCTGTATGAAACGCAGTCCACCTTCTAAACGGAGTATTACTCAAGGGCAGTACGGATGGAAGATCCGGAAAATGCTTGTTGGGGTGATGTCTAAAAACGGAGAGAATAATGAGATCCTTTGAATCGTTTAATAGATGACGACTGAAAATCTACGAAATAGTGTAACAGGCTTATCGACATATATTATGTATTTTCTCTGAACAGCCGGTAACGTTGTCGTTATCATTTTTGGGCATCTTCCATTTATAAGAAATTCATGCTTGCAAGGCCAGTTATTTCATGATGTAGGCGCTGGCTTCCGCGACAGTGTGCCATTGCTCCAGCTTACGGTCTAAGAGGAAGTGTTTCGCCAGCAGCTATTTTAATGCCAATAAATAACGTCACTGTTTCTCAGCTGATTTATACCTTAATCAAAAAGGATCGCACTGCGATATTCTTCCGATCAGCACTATTGATTAAACTTTCCTAAACAATCAGAGTTAAGCAGAACGATCGTGATCATTTCTTCTGCATTTGGAAACCTCTCAAATTTCTGGAATATGACAGCCGTAGCCCGTTCCACAAAACTCCGTTTGTGCCTTGTCGTGGTCAGGCGTTGTACGCAATGGAGGAAGTTGTAAAGTATGACTAAGAATTATGACTGATGCATACAGCAGCATTTACTTTGACTTATAATGAGGATCAAGTGGCAGGGCCACGTTACGAATGAGCATATCCTATTCCGGACAGAAGTGCAATGAATCAGGAGATTAAGTAAAGTAAATTGACCCTGTTGGATAAACTGATTGATCATAAATCCATCTGCATAAATCAAGCTACTCCAGCTTGCGAGCTTTTCGTATAGAGACCGAAACACGAAACTCGAGCTAAATCTGCTATAACAGAAGAATATTTCTCTTTATGATTTTGCCAGTGATTTTTCGTAGCAAAAGTGGAACCACAAACTAGAGATGTTCCACTTATATATATATCATGACAAATTACAATATGGATTTTATAAAGTACAATTTTATGAACCTGTCACATTCACTGTAGACACAATCACATGTAAAATCTGTGTATTCAACTGTATTTAACGAAAGGAAACTGGCATTGTTATACATTTTAACTTCCCGAAAGTAAATTCGTCGTTGTTAAACGGTTAACTCTTGTATACTATTAAACAAACGATAAAAATCTTATCGAAACTAGTCTAAACGATAGTTCATTCTTATAACTTTGTTTTTACCTTTTGCTGAATGTTTGAAAAACGGACGACTTTCTCTAAATATTTTAGCGATAAAGTGTTGAATATCTTATCAACTGATCCGTTTGAACTATTACCAGGGCTGTACAACAATAACCACAACACTTTGAGCTGGAGTATCGCAACTTCAGTTTTAGATCATCATTGGCCAGCTTTCAACCCTTACGCTGTTTTAGTGACAAGGAGTTAAAAACAGCTAATGATCGCATGGGAAACGAAATCATCAAGAA